GGTTGAATGAATGCATGAATGGATGCTGGTGAGAAAAATAAACGATAAAGAATGGGTAAGCCACTGGAGCAGTAAGAGCAGAAGGGAGTTAGGAACACCAGAGGGAAAGCCCGGTCTGGGGGAGGAACCCGAGCAGACCCCACTCCCAGCGGACCCGGCTCCAAAGGTCCGCCCTTCCCCGCCAGCAATCCAGGGAGCCCCAAGCAGGCGGTGTATTCAAGTGAGGTAAGTGGCGGCGCCGGGCTCCTCCCCTCCCGCCTCTCAGGCAGTTTTCCGGCCTCGCTAGGAGCTTGGGACCCCAGCTGAGGTCCCGCCCCACTCTGGCTCGAGCCACAGACCTTCCAGCCGATATTCTCCCCAAGAAATGACAAAATAGAGAAATCTAGACTAGTTCCACTTCCTAGTCTTCCAGTAATCATTTCCGGTGACTTTCTAGGAAACCCCTCAACTCTCTGGTCGAGAAGTTTCCTGGAAACTCTCCGCCTGGCCTCCTCCGGCTTGAGGCTTCTAGGAGTTTGCGCAAGTTTGTGAAGGGTAAACGGTTGCGGAAACGTTACCATATTGACCCGTTATTGTCGTGGAGGGATGTATTGATTGGAATGGACAGAAATTTTGTGACATAAATATATGAAAAAGTTACTTTTAAATATTAAAGCTAAGAATACAAAATAAATAATTGGATACTTTTTTCCAAAAATTAAAAAATTCATTATGAAAAATTTAAGCCTACACAAAAGTTGAGAGGAGAGTATAATGAACCCCCATATACTCATCGCTCAGATTTAACAATAAATAAGATTCTGCCACACTTGTTTCATCTGTCTCCCGGTTTTCTTGCTGAACTATTTTAATGCAAAACCCAAACATATTATTTCAATTTTATGCTCTTCAGAATGCATCTCTTAAAAAATATGGCATTTTCTAAGTGAACCACAATGTCATCATCCCTTCTAACAAAATAATTACCGGTTACCATCTAACACCGAGTCCATATTAAACTTTCGTAAATATATAGAATACGCTTCTTTTTTGAATCAAGATCTAAAGTCTACATGCTTTATTTGATTATTTCTGTTTCTCCTAACATCTTTCACTTTTTCCCTCGTTTAACAAATTGGGTCATTTGTCCTGAACGCTCTACATACTGGCTTTGTCTTTGGCATCCTCACTTTTTTCTCTAGCCTTGTATTTCCTGTTAACTAGATGTTAGCTCTAAAGGTTTGATTAGAGTTTGGTTTACCTTTATGGGTAAGAATTCTTAACCGTTGCTATGTACTTCTCTTTTTGCTTTATATCAGGAAGCATATAATGTCCAATTGTTCCACTCTTTGTGATGCCGGAATAGATGAATGAGTTCAGCACTTGGTACTTGGATCCCTCCATGTCAAGTTCTCCATCAACCTTTCATCTGGTGGTTTCATCCATTATGATCTTTGCCTGAATCAACCATTTCATTAGGGGTGGTGAAATTGTGATTTTCTAATTCAATAATTTTTTCACATTTATGAGCTAGAATTCCTTTGCAAAGAAGGAGTTCCTGTCATCAACCTATCAATTCAGGGCTGTTTGGTTATTCTGAATGTAGTTCATACAGGAAAGACAGAATAAAAGTTAACTTTTCAATGTAATTGCCAATATTCAGAGTAAGTAGTTGTGGCCCAGGTGCCATGACCAATGATGTGTTAGACATCCTTCAAAATGTCCATCAATGGCACTGTCTTCCAGTATTCTTACTCTTGTGTACCTGCCTCCCACATTATACCAGGGTCGGTTTGTGTGACCAATTAAATACAGCAGAAGTGATGTTATTTCTAATATTAGGTTATAAAAGAAACTGTGGCTTCCATCTTGGTCCCTCTTTCTCTCTCTCTCTTTCTCAGATCATTCACTCTGGGGGAAGCTAGCTGCATGTTGTAAGGAGAGACCCATGTGGCAAAGAACTGAAGCCTCCTGCCAAGAGCCATATGAATGAGTTTAGAAGTGGATCCTCCAGCCTCCAGTCAAGCCTTCACTTGACTGCAGCACAGGTCGACGTCTTGGCTGCAATCTTGTGATAGAATCAGAACCAATAGCTAAACTGCTGTTGGATTCTTGACCTGTAGAAACTCATTGAGATAATAAATATTTGATATTTGATTCTAAATTTTGAGGTAATTTGATATGCAGTAATTGATAACTAATATATATATATATTTGTTTTCTGCTTTTGAGTATCACTGTGAACTCATGGATTTTAAAAAAACATTCAAGGAGTCTTAATCAATTGCAGTCATTATATTTTTTTAATGTTCAAATGATTCCATCTTTGGCCAGTGGGAGTCCCTTTATTTTGTCTCCTTTGTCCTTTTCATCTAACTCTAACAGTCTTTGATAGCTTTTTTGCTTTCTGGCAGGACAAGATGTTTCAGTCTCATTTTGTATATTTCCTGTTCCAGACCTGGAATCAGCCATTTCTCCAAGGAGTCTCGGTTCCTTTCAGTGGGAAGAATGATAGCATATCTTTGTGAATGGTCATAGTTAACTTCTTTTAAAGCTTATCAAAATGAAATCAAATTTACTTAATTATGGGATTGAATTCAGGCTAAACTGCCTGGTACCTGTGTGCATGAGACCCTACACAAGGTATATTTTTCATGCCCTAGTTTCCCTGTCTGCAAAATGGATCCAGTATAGATACCTAATTTTCAGAGTTTTATGAGGATTAAATGAGATAATATATTGAAATCATTTAACACATTGCCTGACATCAAATTTCATGATTAGAATAATAGATTGCAACTCTGGAAGATACCGTAGTAGTCATCAGGTACAATTCCTTCATTTCGCACCTGGGAAAACTGAGGCCCAAGAGATTAAAAGTTTGCCTAAAATTACAAAGGAGGATAAAATTAGAAGAGAAACTAATGACTTCAGAGTCTTGGATCTCATATGTGCACTATTCTGAACATAAAGGCAGTCTCTCCAGCCCAATCAGGGCTTCTATTTATTCAAAGGCAAAGGAGATTAGAAAGTACTTGGCACATTTGTTATAAAGTGGTATCATGGAAAGTGCACCAATCTTATATGCAGAAGACCTCATTCCTGCCTCTGCCACTTACTAGCTTGATATTTTGGGCAAGTCACTTAACTCCTTTGCATCTCAATTGCTGCATCTGTAAAATAGTGACAATAAATCCTTCACTCAGAAGCTTATAGTGAGGAGGAAAATATAATGTATTTTATATGAAAGTGCCTGGCTCATAATGATTGCTAAATAATGATCTTTATACAAAAAAATTTCTTCAGTCCTCCATTTAATACAATTTTATCCTTCTCCTCTAAAGGAAGTTGTGTTTTGATTAGACTGATCCGTAAGGATACTAAGTCCCTAATTCTGTAATTGAGTTCAGTGAATACTGTGCAAAGACACTGAGCAAGGGGCTGCAGGAGAGATGCTATACATAGTCACCTACCATCCAGGCTGAGTGGGTACATTCTTCCTTCCTCATGCCAATCTACTTAACAGTGCTAACTTCCGATTCGCGTATATTCACGGGGTTCATTTATGATAGACTTTGCTGATATGAAGATACTTTACTTCCACAGCAGACCCTTAGTCTGCCGCTTTAATAATCTAGTCCAACTGAGATACAATTGACTTACACTCTTTGTTCTTGATTAACCCTAATTGCTCATAAAAGATGTCCTAAAATCATTAATGCTGGAATTTTTCAGGGATCCATGTCAAGATTTTCAGCCTGTTAATTCCACAATTCACCTTCTTTACTTTTTAAAAATTTGGACATCTGCCAGTCTTGGGCATCAGTCGCACTCCTTCAAAGTGGCCTTCAGGGGTCCTGTGGCCAATGTGCCTGCCTTCAGGATCCTTCAAGTGATTTTATCTAGATATGAAGACTTGCATTTACAGGAAGTAGTTATTCTTTTACTATCTCCTTGTATGTCATGAAATTTAATTTCCACATATTACTGTTTTTCCTCCCACTCTCAATTGAAGGTCAGGATCTTTGATGGAGAAATAGAAGCCTGATCATTGTTAAGTAATTCTATGGCCCCTCTGCCATCTGTTGAAATTACCAAATTCATTTCCTGGGGTTTTGGGAAAAAATAGCAAGTATTTCAGGCATACAAAAGAATAATTTAAGAAATACTCAACATCTAACTTGACCTAAATATTACAGAAATGATTAAATTCCCTTGTCTTCCCCTCCCCAAGCCCTCTCCCCTTCCTTCTCAGATTAACTATGATCTTGATATTGATGTTGTTATTCCCATGCATGTTTATACATTTTTAGTATATATGTGGGTAGCCGCAAACATTATATAGTATAATTTACATTTTACTAATTTTATACAAATGGTTTCACTGTGTACATATTCTCTAAGTTTAAAGGCTTGATTTGATTTACGTTCAATATTTTTGGCAAGAATACTTCAGAGGGGTTACTTAGTACTTTGTATTTAACTTTATGGTTTTGAGATTTGTCCTTAATGAAAAATGTAGCTCCAGCTCATTCATTTTAACTGTCACAGGTCTTTTATCATTTTCCTTCCAATAATCTTGTTAAGTATTCTGATTATTTTTCTAGTTCAACTCAGAAATTTAGCAGGTGTTTGTTTTTTGTCTTTGATTTCATGGATTTTGCTTTGTTTATTTTGGCTGTCCTTTTGAAATAATTTTCTTGGAGTTTCCTCTTCTAAAAAGGTAATGTCCCCTAATTTTATGCTAGAAAGTTCATATTCTAGTGTTGGGAAGAACAATCTAAAACGTATTTGCTACATCCTCAAACTTTTAATATATCTTTTGTGCTTAACTTTATTACTAACATATATTTAATATTTTCTGTTCAAGTTTCTGCTGCTAATCATTATGCTGAAATATAATTAAATATATTATAGAAAAATACCATATATTGGAAATGCAATATTTTGGAAAATACAGCATACTTTATTTATAATGCATGCTTGTGGGTCTTCATAATCCTAAAAATTCTAACACATTTAAATATATGCGACACGTAGTTCTCTTTTAAATAAAGCTACTGATAAGAGGCATATGCTGTTAGTCAAAGATGCTTTGCGGCGATTTTTTTCAGACCCGTTTCAAATCATTTATTTAATAAGCATTTCTTCAGCAACTGTTTTAAGAGCTTGGGATACATGAGTGAACAAAAGAGTTAAAGATATCTGCCCCATGGAGTTTACATTCAAGTAATTCTGATTAACTCTTGCTCCCATTTTCTTTCTTTGTTTTCTCTCTTCATACACTGAAGAAAATAAATTTCCTGTGCAAGCGAATCTGTTCTCAAACGTGGCAACAGTCTCAAACTGAAAAGCAATGGCTCAGACCCTCCAGCTTCTCAGGGTTTGCAGCGCTGGACCAAAGAGAAGAGTCCTCCCGGGGTCCTAGAAGGGTGAGCCGCGCGTTACCATGGAGACCGCGGAACTTGAGGGCTCTGAGGCGCGGGTGGGGTTTCTTCGACCTCACCTTGGGGGTGCCCTTTGCACTCCTTCTGTGCCGCCGCCGGGAAGGCAGGACTCGCAAGGGCGGCGGCGGAGCTGAGGCCGCGGGGCAGGTATGTGCGGTCGCGGGCAGAGTTCTGGCGGCCGCCCCTCGCCGGCCTTCTGGGGCGGGGCGGGAGGTGGGGTGAATTGGGATGCAGGAGGTCCCGCCTGGCCGAGCATCTTTTTCTTTACCTCTTCTAGCCTGTTTTTCTCTACTCCCCCTGCTCCTTCTTTAGGAGAAGATCCTAAGCTCCTCATTATTTAACATTAAAATTTTAAAATTTTACTTGGCACACAGTTGAATATAGCGCTTATTCTGGGTCAGGTCTTGTTCTAAGTGCTTTATATATATATGTATTAAGTCATTTAACTCTCAAAAAACCCAATGAGGTGGGTGCTATCCCTATCGCAATTTTTAGATAGGCAACTTGAACCCTAGAGAGGATAGTAAACTTGCCCGTGGTGGCATAGCTGGTAAGTTGAGATAGGAAACCCAAGGGGTCTGGTGCCGGCATCTGAGCTCTTAACCACCGTATTAGGTTGTCCTTGGTAACCCTAAAATTCTGATCAGAGCTTTAATTTTCTTCCTGTCTGCCAATTTCTTTTCCCTTCCAGCTGCTAGGTTCTTTTGTGATTTTTAAAAGTGTTTTTATTTTCCCTCCCCAAAGCCCCAGTACATGGTTATATATCCTAGTTGTTGTAAATCCTTCTATGTGAGCCACTACCATAGCATGGCAACTGACAAATGGGTGGTGTGGTTCCGTGTCAGGGAAGTGAACCCATGTGGCCAAAGCCGTGAGAGTATGGAACTTTAACCACTAGGCCACCAGGGCTGGCTCCTTTTGTGATTTTTAATTGTTGATGTGGTACTGCTCTCATTCATGACTTCTTTTCTCTTTCTTTTCTCCTGCCCCTTTCTTGCAGGCCAATACTTGAAATGTAGATTGGAGCCTCTGAACTTTACTGGTCTCTAAAGCCATACTGTCAATGGACAAAAAAGGCAGAGCAGCTCCTGCCCTGTGGCTCAAAATGTCAGTCACGTCAGAGAAGGCAGTTATTTTTGATAGGTGTCCACATGGGTTTGGCTCCCTTGAGGAGGCCTGCCCTGAGGAGCAGGCCCTGGATGTCCTACCTGGAGAGAGACAGGACTGGAGGTGGGTCCATGATTCACCTAGCAGAGAGGTGGTCATAGGAGTGATGGGAGATGAAGAGTGAGATCTGGGTGGAGAAGAGTAGGTAAGAGGAGGCGGAGTCTCTACTGGCCAGGGGAGAGACAATGAAGAACCTGGTTTTCTTAAGGGCTAAAGCAGGCAGTGGCAAAGCTCCTCAACTGAGATTTTTCCTTGACCTCTTTGTTGCTGACTATATTGATATAGTTTTTAGAGTTGCATGCTTTTGTAGGAAACTCTATATGAATCCTCTGTCTTTTTCTAAAATGGAATGAGAATTGGATTTTCCCTTTCTCTGCAGTCCAGTGAGATTGCTCCTTTATATCTTTCCTGGGATTTTAATTTTAACATATGAATAGTCCTTTTTTTCTTCCCTTTTGATGACATTCCTACATCTGGGTTCCATCTGGTGCCCAAGAAAGGCAGAGCTTGGCATGTGAGAAGATTTTGGTATCAGCCTTGGATTCACCAGTTATCCAACATTGGCCCATAGTCAACCAGCCTGAAAATGTCATCCCTTTTTCTTGGGTCCTACAAAAGAGAGGTGGGGAGCTAGCATTCATCCTTCTGCTTATGAAGAGAGTGCTGGCAGTCTAATAGAAAATGAGCTAGAGCATGTCTTCCAAAGGATGGTACCAAGAACTGATTTTTAGATGTTATACATATGAATATTAAAAAAAAAAGAACTAAATGAACATTGGGCTGCCCTCTGAGTGACTGAAAGCTATTCCTGAGCTATTCCTGAAGCAACCCCACCCTGCCGTGGCTCTGGAGACTGGCCATCTTATTCCCTATGGCAGAGGTCAGCCTGCAGGCTTAATGGGACCTACCACCTGTTTTTGTATGGCCCTTGAACTAAAAATGGTTTTTACATTTTTAAATGGTTGAAAAACAATCAAAAGAATAATATTTTGTGACGTGTGAAAATTATAAAATTTCTAATTTCCCTGTCCATAAATTTTATTGGAACACAGCCACGCTCATTTGTTTATGTACGGCTTTCATGCTACAACAGCAGAGTTGAGTAGATTGAGACTGTGTGGCCTGCAAAACCATAAGTATTTATCATCTGGCCCTTCATAGAACATGTTTGCAGATCATCCGTGTTTTCCTTAGGGTGACCCACAGCCCGTTCTTTAAAATTGGTATGGGGATTGAACTCCCTGTTCTCTGCTGTTCCAGGCTTCACAGCTCTGTCCCTGCCCTCCTTCATTCCCCAAGCTTTCTCTGGACATGGTGATTGATAAAGTTGCTGCCCTCAGGGAGCTCACATAGTGTAGTGGAAAAGAGAGAAAATAAATATGTATGTATATGTAGAAATAAAGCAGGGGAAGAGTGATGAGGTTGGGAGAAGATGGGGTGGTAGATGTGATAGTTTAGGTGAGATTGTCAGGAAGTCTTTTCCAAGGTGTGGGGGCCTAGGTCCAAATAATGGTAAAGCTACGATGAGGGTTACGTAGTCAGAGGGTTTGCATTTCCTTCTGCGTTTCGCTATATTTTCACAACAGACTATTTAGTTATTGGGAAATATGATATAAAACAGCTTCATGGTAAAAAGACATGCATCTTTTTCCTATTCTGGTTACTGACTTCACCTTTAATAATTTACTAGATAGCCCTTATTTAGAGAGAATGGCTGTGGTGTAATGTAGCAGTTCAGTTCCTTACAATGATGAAAAATATAGGATCCTATTTCAGTCCAGATGATGAAGAGGGAGATAAACAGGATGATTCTAGTTTGTGTCTGGAAAGGGTGGGATTGAATAAGGGTAAGCCTCACCCTAAGGAACCAAGTTATCAATTGAGGGAGGATCTGGATGTCACATACAACCTCTCATAAACAAGAGGTAAGTTTTGTTACCTGATAAGATGCCATTTGGCCCCAGCCCAGAGAAAGTGCAGGATTTCTAATTGGGAAAATTCTGAAAGAGAATTAGACAAAGGGAGATTTTATTTGTGATATTCTGTTCTCTGTTTTATAGAATAGTAAATAAATTATCCAAGCCAAATGTTTTTTAAAGATAAAATATTAAAATATTTGATAAGAGTAAATGTATTGCCCTTGGGCCAGAAAGTCTGTCTGATGGAACTCAAAAGCTCCAGACTGCTGGTGCAATTGAGGAGGCACTGCAGGTCTTCATCTGGAGAGCTGCAGGTCGGCCCCTAATCCTATACCTGATATATCTAGGAGGAGAGGCCAGCTCTCAGTTTAATAAGGTCAGCTTTCTTTGTAAGCCCCTTGTACTCCTGGAGCAGATGCTAACAATTAATTTAATTCATGCATTCATTCATGCAGAATGTATTGAGCATACTTTAAGTGCCAGATAATTATGCTGAGTAGTGGAGATACAAAATTGAAGAACATTTGGCTCCTGCTCTCAAGGCACTTCAGTTTGTTTGGGGAAACAAACAAGGAAGTCCGTGATAATAATCCAATGTGATAAGTACTGTGGTAGAAGCATGTACCAGGTGCTCTGGGAGTGGGGTCAGAGGTATAACAGGGATGGAATATTTGGTCTTTATGACTGAGTATATGTATAAGGTACATAAGAGAGAGGGGTTTATGGCTTTGATGACTGAGTAGATAGAAGTGCTGTTCACTAAGTTTGGCATTATAGAAGAAGGAAATGATCAGTTTGGACTTAGAGATAATGAGTTTGGGGTGCCTGTGGACATGGAAGCAAAGGTGTCTATTGAGTGAAGACGTGTTTTGACTTGAGTAGAGAGATCTGGGCTAGAAATGCAGATTTGAGAGTCATCTGCTCAAGTTGAAGGCATGAATGTAAATGTGGTCACTAGGGAGAAGGTGTACAGTGAGACTGGCAGAGGGACTAGGATGGAGACCTTAAATACACTTAGAGTGCAAGAGGTGAGTAGAAGAAGAGCTACCCTTGAAGGAGACCAAGGAGGAAAACTAAGTAGGAAACAGCAAGAAGGAAGTCAGAGAAAGGAAGAGAATAGTTAAAAGTGACGTACAGCATAATGATGTTTTAGTCAATGACAGACTGCGTATATGACAGTGGTCCCGTCAGATTAGTACCACATAGCCTAGATTTGTAGTAGGATATAGCATCTAGGTTTGTGTAAGTACACTCTATGATGTTCAAGGGATGAAACTGCCTAACAATGAATTTCTCAGGATGCATCCCTGTCTTTAAGTGACGCATGACTGTATTTCAAACAGATCAAATAAAGGCAGACTTGCACTTGTGGTAGAAGGAGGAGTGCTGCAAAGGTGTTAGAAGAAGTGGAGGAAACCAGCTCAATACTGAGGTCCGTGCCTCAGCTCTGAGATACTGCTCTTCAGACATGAGGAAAGATTATCCAGGGGATTTCTGGATAATCGATAAATTAGAGTTCAGAATCTGTGAGGATATGAATTTGGAAATGTAAGTGTGGGTTAACTTTAGAGATTGAATGGGTTTCTTTTCTAAGTACCAAGAGATGTGAAAGGAAAATGGATTATGAAGGTAGCAGTGAAGCAGCACAGAGTCCAGTGAGTGACCCTCAGGCTTCAGAATGAGCTGGCTATATCAAAGGGAATGGAAAAAGGAAGTTCCTATTAATATTTTAGATTTCTGTCAGGCTTTTTGAGTATCAAACGACTCTGTTACATACTTCTTGTATATAGTTTGCACCTTTGTATCTGTTAAAAAGGCTGTGCCACAATAGATATAGAGGGGATAGGATTAGAAAATCAAAGGTGGGAGGATTACTGAATGCTAGGATGCAGTTAATTTTAGGAGTTTTATCTGAGGAAAAGAATCCCAGAATTTCTGTGATGGACCACAGTAAGTAAGTAAAAGAAAAGTAATAGTTAGCTGACCAATGAACTTTTGCTTGAGGGCTGCCCCAAGAGAGCATCATTTTGTTCCCAAGTCTTCTCAGAGGAGATGTGCTGTCAATCATGGGTGGGGACAGGGTAGGGATTGGAGGGTTAGGATATAGGTAGAAGAGCAAAGACATATTCCAGATGGCAGCAGCAGTGTGAACAGAATCCTACAGGGAAAACCTGAAGCCTATATGTCAGAGATCATTTTAGCTTGTTGAAACAGATTGAACACTGTATGAAAATAGGTGAGAGCTACCAGAGAAACCAGTTGAGTTGAGAGTGTATTGACCATGGCAGTGAGGGTTCTAGTTTCTGTTTTTAGGATACATCTGGATAGGGTTCCTAGATTCACAGGAAAACTACTGACAGGAGGGAGTCTTTTACTGAGGAATTGCCCCCATTGACTCTGTTGATTACTTTCTCACCTGTCTGCTACATCTGCTTCCCCTGCATCTGCCTTTCATCATGAGAGTTGCCAAGGAGACAGGGCACGGGAAGAGTTATCTTTGATAAACTGTCCCCAGGTGAGCTCTGATTTCCTCTCTCTCCTTGAGAGTGATTATTCTCTGTGAATAAGGCCAACTGTAATTTATACCCTCAATCAAGGTAGTCTTCGACTACCCAGCTCCAAATTTTAGATGTTTATTCCCCATTAAATAGAATTTATTTGCTGGTGTAACTCTGTCTTTAGATTATACCCTCACACCTTTACTGCTTTCTCTGTTGTTTCCCTGCACTTCTTCCATAATCATAGTAAGAGTGATAGCATTTCACTCTAGCAAGATCTCCTTGTTTATTTTATTGCAGTCGTAGGATTATTCCCAGGACAGTAGGTATTTGTTGTTTCAGGAGCTGGTGATGTTTGAAGACATAGCACTGTACTTCACTCAGAAGGAATGGATGTGTTTGATCCTTGCTTAGAGGGACACCTATAGGAATGTGATGCTGGAGAATTATGAGAATTGACTTTCTCTGGGTAAAGACTCTATGCACTCACTTTGGTTCTGCTTTACTTTTTCATGTATCAGTGTCCAATGTTACTTAGATAAGGATCATGCTCTATCTTTATGGCCTCCTGAGGGAAGAGTTTCTTGGGACTTTCTTTGGGTCCAGAGATAGAATTTTCTCTCTGCTGACCATTTCTGGTTTTGTGGAACTACTCTGTATGTACACAGGGAGAAACTGCTTCCTTTGCTATCCTTGAATTCTCATGGAATTCATCCTTTAATTCCTGCCAGCTCCACTAGATCAGAGAGAAACTCTCCTATAAAATCTTATTGCACACAATCCATCAGGAAGAATTTCTTTTTCTTTAGCAGAAAGAGGGCAGCCTAGGTAAATGTGCCTTTGCTTTTTGGGGATCAGAAAGCTGATTCTCTGATACGATTCTCTCCTTTCCTTTTATATATTTGTTGTAAGTGTACAGCTTGATGAATTTTCATAAAGCAAAAGCACCCACATGACCATCCCAGATTAAGAAACAGAACATTACCTGCACCTCAGTAGCCTGCACCTTTGTGCCCCCTTCAGGCAATACTTTTCTCTGCCTCTACTTGAGATAATAATTTTCTTGACTTTTCTTTTTTTTCTGCTTTATCTCCCCAACCCCCCAGTACATAGTTGTATATCTTAGTTGCAGGTCCTTCCAGGTGTGGGATGTGGGACGCCGCCTCAACGTGGCCTGACGAGCAGTGCCACGTCTGCACCCAGGATCCGAACCCTGGGCCGCCGCAGCGGAGCGTGGGAACTTAACCACTCAGCCATGGAGCCGGCCCCCTGACTTTTAACCTGATAGATTAATGTTGCCTGTTTTTGAATTTTATATAAATGGAATCAAACAGTATATCTTCTGTTATGTTTGGTTCTCTCACTCATCATTATATTTGTGAGATTTGTTCTTTTGTTGCCAGTGGTCACCGTTCGTTCATTCTTGTTACTGTAGATTATTCCATTGGGTGATCATACTATGATTTGTCATTCTACTGTAGATGGACATTTGAGTTGTTTCCAGTTTTGGTTATTATGTCTTTGGTGAACATATATATGCATTTCTGTTGCATTTATAACTAAGAATTGCTGGGTCATAGAGTATGGCAGTTTACCAAAGTAGTTGTGCAAACTTGTGCTCCTAGCAGCAGTGTTTGAAAGTTATAGTTGTTCCACAGGCTTGTCAACACTTGGCACTGTCCTTTTCATTTTAGCCATTATGGTGGGTGTGAAATGATATCTCCTGTGGTTCTAATTTGCATTTCACTATTAACTAATGGAGTTGAGCACCTTGTTAAATGTTTACTGGCTGTTTAGACATACTGTTTTGTGAAATGCCTATTCTTTTGCCACACTTCTAATTGATTGCCTTTTTGTTATTGATTTGTAGGAATTATTTATATGTTTTATATACTCTGGGGATATTTTAAATCCATCTCCTATTTATTCTCTGCTTATTTATCCCTCTGATCTCTATTGACCTGTTACTGACTATAAGTCTAGGACCAGGCTTTGGAGTAGCTTTATTTTACTCTCCAGGTAATTGTATCCTGTTACCTTCCATACAAGGAACATTGCAATTTCCCAAACCCGCTGTAATTTCCCAGCTGGAGCAGGGTCAGGAATCCTATGTTCTCGATCTGCATGGAGCTGACTTAAGAGAGGCCTGTACAAGCTCCTGGGCAGGTGAGTCATAAAGAATCTGAGAGTTTCTACTTTCTTTTCTCTTCTTTCTTTATCTTGGAAATTTAACAACACATCATATAGATCATTTCCAGCTATGAATCTTAAAATCTTCCAGAAGGAAAAATGGAAAAAAACTGAATACCAGAGTTTCAACCTGTCATCATTCAAAAAGCATAGGATCCCTTGCATTCAGATTCATTTTATTTTTACCACTTTAGATAAAAATTTATAATCCCCATATACCACACTCTTAAAGCCCTTAGTCTTCCCCCAGGTCAGTTAGTCCATTGCAATGGGATCTTCAACCCAGTCTTCCTTGATGTTCTCCTGGCTTTGTTTTCAAAAAACATATTGATTTACTAGACAGTATTTCCCTGAGTGATGTCCGAGGACCACCTGAATCTGAATCAGTGGGAGTGCTTATTACAAATATAGATTCCTGAGTATCACTGAGACCTACTAATTAATATCCAGGGGCAGGATCGAATTTGCATTTTCACAAGCTTCCCATGTGATATGCCCACTAAAGTTTGAGAAGCATGGTACTAGACTGTGAGCTTTTTAAAGTGAGGGACTGTAGTTATCCCCAGAACATAGTGACATATGATTCATGTTTAATAAATATTTGTTATATGAACGCTGAAAGAGCTCATGAGCATACCAGTCTCTTATTTCAGGTGTCATTGCTATGCTTAGAGTCTATGGATAACATCATTGAAATAATATACTGTAGTTATATTGAAGATAAACTTTCTTTTGGGTTTTGATTAAGAGATTATTCATAGAATAGGTAGAATCTATGCCAGAAGAGAGCTTACATTTTTGTTAGGGAGACAAAATAAATATATGACCTGATTAGCTAAGAGTTAACAAAATAGCATATGTAACAATTCACATATTAGTACAGAGTGAACAATAATTTCTAAGAGAGCCCAAAGACAACTCCTGGTTTGATCAGAGTTGGGTCAAAGTTAATCAAGGGAAGTTTCCTATAGGAGGGAGCTTAGTGGTTTCTGTATATATGGAAGAGGAGTTTAGAGTTATATTTTGAAAGAAAATACTGAGAATAATCTAGCAGCCAGAAGAGAACGTATTCGAAGTGAGGTGCGTGCATTAGCCCAGGGCTGAACAGATTCCTTCAATTGCATCTCATTCCTGAGCCTTCTTGCTGGGATTACTCCAGACGTAACCTATTCTTTTAGTTCCACTTAATTCAGTTTGGAGGGCACTCTGAGGTTATACACCCCTATCTTTGTGTGCTTAGATTTTCCGTTTTATTGTTTACCACATATTTTATTTCCTTTGATTTTCTATTTCAACTTGTTCTCCTTTCCCTTTGTCTTTCTTGGGAAACTCTATCCCACTATTTCTTGATAATTTTGTCTTGCTCCTTGCTTATAGTATTTAAACAATTTTTACGCCTAGAAAATGTTTCCTCACAGCCCATTCTTCTTCTTCCATATAATTACTATTCATTTTTTCTCCCATGTGAGTGCAATAAACAAGTGACATTTTCTTTTTTTGCTCTCCCTCTTCCTTATTGTTATTTTTCCTTTTTCTTAGTGTCAAGTGTTAAGACCCAGGTTAGGAGTGGGGAATCAATGGAAAAGTACGTTTTGAAAATGAGGAGTCACACTGAGTCATCTTGACAAATACTCAGAAGAATCAGTGTGGAAAATCCATAGAAGCATTGAAAGATAAGAATAGCAATTCTAAGGAGGTGAACAATGAAGATCAGGACATTCTGACGTCAGAACAAAAAGAAGAGGATTAGGGGAAAGTTTGCACATAAACTTGGAATATGCCATGTATGAAAGAATTCGCAGTGCACACAGTTTCTGTGAATATAGCACAAGTTGTGAAAACATCTGTTGGCAGTCAGAACTTATTCCCCACGAGAAAATGCATGACAAAGAGAAAGCTTGTGAATGTGAAGAATGTGGAAAAGCTTTCAGAGTGATCTCAGCCCTCACCCTACATAACAGAATCCACAGTGGTGAGAAACCTTATGGATGTGAAGAGTGTGGGAAGGCCTTCAGCCAGAGCTCTGCCCTAATCCAGCACAAAAGAATCCATGGTGGGGAGAAACCGTCTATGTGCGACTAGGGTCACAAAGCCTTCCATGGGAGCTCAGATCTTATTAAACACGAGAGAATTCACACTGGAGTGAAACCCTGTGAATGAGAGGACTGCAGGAAATCCTTTAGGAATATCTCAGCCCTCACTGGACACCACTGGATCCACACTGGGCAGAAACCCTTTGAATGTAATGAATGTGAGAAGACCTTTCATCAGAGCTCAGAACTTAATGTACCCAGAAGAGTCCACACAGGAGAGAAACCATATACATGTGAGAAGTGTGGGAAAGCTTTCAGAGTGAGCTCAGATCCAATGGGCATGAAAGAAGAAAGCGTACTGAAGAGAAACTCCCTCAGCGTGAGAATGAAAAATCAGTGAGTCCAATTTCCTCTCCTCAGCCACATCCACATCTGCCTCCTTGCAGCATTTGACACTAAGGAGCCCTTACTTTTTTTTGTAAACTTAACCCTATTTAATATTGTATCCTGCTTCCTGGTATTCTCAATCGCTCTTACCCTACTTTTTTCCATACATCTTAGTAATTTCTAATGTGTATTTTATTTGTTTATAATGTTTATTTATTACGTGTATTATCTTATCCCTCTGCTAGAATATAGGACAGGGAAGTTGGTCTCTTGTTTGCTGATCTATTCTAAGCCACTAGAATCTTGCCTGGTAAATGGAGGGAGTGGGGTGGGTGGCACAGTAAATATTTCTTGAATGAAATGAATTCCCTGCTTTCCATGATATGCTTTTTCTGGGTTACCCTTTAGCGCCTCCAGCCGTTCCTTTCCTCTTGCCTCTTGCCTTTGCTGACTGCTCTTGGTCCCCTTATCCTAAGCTGTGGCTGTGTATCATGGTCTGTTCTTTAGGCGAGAAGTCTTTCTTTTGTGTGTGTGTTTTATATACTCATAGTTCTCCTTATACAAAAAGATGGTATTTAGTCATATATTAATTGGGAGAATTTAGCATAAATAGTGTTTCCTTTCTCTCTTTTAATGATAAACTTTTGCTAAAAAAGAGGAAATGTTCTCTGAATATGGTAATAATAATAAAAAATTTTAAAGTCAGGGTTATTTAGATGTAATTGACATATCATAAAATTTAGGTGTGCAGCTTTGTGAGATTTGCCCAATGTATATAGTTGTGTGAACATCATCACGATCAAGAATGAATATTTGCATCATCCCCCCAAATTTCCTCTTGTCCCTTTTGAAGTCAGTCACTCCTCCTACCCCCAGCCCCTGGTAACCTCTGATTGGATTTCTGCCCTAATAGTTTCTGGGCAAGGAGTCTTAATTATGTAACTGGCGATATCTTCTCCTGACCTTCACTGCAATCCTGTTTGACTAAATGATGCTCTGCTTTCAGCTCTGCATCAACAGTATGTTGTAATAAATCACACACGTGCTATTTCTGTATTCATGTGGGCATTTCAAGGCGAATCATGGAAGGGGAAAAGTAAAAACCTGTGTTTCTACCAGTCTCTTGCCTGAAAGTTCTCTTCCTTTTATCTCAAGAATGTCAGCAAATCATATCAATGCTATGTTTAAAATATACCCTGAATACGTTTCTTACCATCTCCATCTAGGTCAAGCTACTGCTTGTATTCTTGCCTCCCTACAGGGTAACCTCTAGACAGACTCCACAGAGCAGCCAACTGGATTATTTAACAATTCAAATCAGGCGATTTCGCTTAAAATTCTCCAGTGGCTTCCCATCAACCACCCCCTTTTATAAAACATTTTGTCATATTTGCTTCATTTCTTTCTAAACCATTTGAAAATAAGTTGAAAATATCATGATATTATCCCTAAATACTTCAGCATGCCTCTCTTAGAATAATGGCATTCTTTTTCGTAGTCCCAATACCATTATCATACCCAAGAAAATTACTAGAAATTCAATAATACACCCAACATCCAGCCCACATTCAAATTTCCCCATTATCCTTGAAAGTTTTCTATAGCTGTTTTTTTCCCATCAGTCAGGATCCAATTAGGGTACACACTGCGATTGTTATATTTCTTTAGTCTATTTTAATCTAGAACTATGCTGTCTAATATGGTAGCCACGAGTCGCATGTGGCTTCTGAGCTGAACGTGGCTAGTGCAGTTGAGTTGTGCTGTCCGTTAAAATGCACACCGGTTTTGATTTTACACAGAAAAAAATATAAAGTATCTCAATTTTTATACTGATTACATGTTGAAATAATAATATGTGGGTTAAATAAACTATATGATTAAAATTAATTTCAGCTGTTCATTTTTACTTTTTTAAATGACTACTAGAAAACTTAAAATACACATGTGGCTTGCATTTGTTGCTTACATGGTGTTTTTGTTGGATATTGTACATGTAGAACAATTCACTCACATTTGTCTTTCATAACACTGACTTTTTAAAGAGTCCGGGCAAGTTATCTTATAGAACATCCTACATTCTGAATGATCACTTTTAGAATAAAAATCATAGTATATGAAATATAAGGCTTCTCACGATTAGCTCTTTCCCCTGCTGCTGCTACAGGGAGAATCTCCTACGATTATGCCACTTTCTCCACACTGACTTTCTTGCCATTCAGCAAACACATCAAACAAATCCTTTGCAATTTCCTGGGAAATTCTCTTCCCCATAATTTTCACAAGATTGACGCCTTTGTTTCATTCTGGTTTCTGCTCACATATCACCTACTCAGAGGGACCGTCCTGACCATCCTTTCTAAAATAGTACTTTCCATCACTCCCTCCCCTCACCCTGCTTTATCTTTCCTTTTTAAAAAATTTCAGCTTTATCGAGGTATAATTTAGATATAAAATTGTAGGATATTTAAAGTGTACATTGTGAAAGGCTACGCCTCTCATCTAGTTATTTAACACATCTATCACTTAACATATTTTTTTTGGTGAGAACATTTAAGTTCTACTCTCTTAGAAAATTTTAATTATAAACTACAGTGTTATCAACTATAGTCACCATGTTTAACATTTGATCCTCAGACCTTACTCATAACTGAAGTTTTTAACCTTCTTTTACCAATCTTTCCCTATTTCCCAACCCTTAGCCATTGTCAACTATTTTTCTACTCTTTGTTTCTGAGTTTGACTTTTTCTTTAGATTCCACATGTAAGTGATGTCATGCAGTATTTCTCATTCTCTGCTTTATTTCACTTAGCATAATGCCCTCAAGCTCCATCCATGTTGTCACAAATGACAAATGGTAGGGGGTTTCTTTCTTTCTCATGGGTAATATTTCATTATATATATATTACATCACATATACCACATCTTTATCCATTCATCTGTTGATTGGGACTTAGATTCTTTCCATATTTTGGCTATTGTGAATAATGCTGCAATGAAAATGGGGGTAAAGATAGCTCTTTGATATCCTGTTTTTGTTTCCTTTGGATATATACCCAGAAATGGGATTGATTGCTGGATCATAAGGTGCTTCTATTTTTAATTTTTTTTTTCTTTTGGTGAGGAAGATTGTCCCTGAGCTAATATCTGTGCCAGTCTTCTTGTATTTTGTGTATGGGATACCACGACAACATGGCTTGCTGAGCAGTAGGTATGACCACACCCAGGATCTGAACCCAAGAACCCTAGGGTGCTAAAGCGGGAGCTTGTGAACTTAACCAGTACGCCACCTGGACAGCCCCTATTTTTAATTTTTTGAAGAAACTGCCTACTGTTTTCCATAGTGACTGCACCAATTTACATTCCCACCAACAGTGTGCAGGGTTCCCTTTTTTCCGCATCCTCACCAATTCTTGTTATTTGTTGTCTTTTTGATAATAGCTATTCTAAGAGGTGTGAGGTGATATCTCATTGTGGTTTTGATTTGCAATTCCCTGATCATTAGTGATGTTGAGCATCTTTTCAAGTACATGTTGGTCATTTGTATGTCTTCTTTGAAAAAATGTCTGTTCAGATCCTCAGCTCATTTTTTCATCAGATTATTATTTTCCTTTTGCTATTGAGTTGTATGAATTCCTTATATGTTTTAGATATTAGCCTCTTTTTCAGATATATGATTTACAAATATTTTCTCCCTTTCCATAGGTTGTCTTTTCATTTTGTTGATTTTTTTTTGCTGTGCTGAAGTCCCATTTGTTTATTTGTGTTTTTGTTGACTGTTTTTGGTGTGTATCCAAAACAACAATTGCCGAGACAAATGTCAAGGAACTTTTCCTCTATTTTTTCTTCCAGGGGTTTTATGGTTCAGGTTTTACGTTTAAATCTTTAATTCATTTCAAGTTAATTATTGTGAGAGATGTAGGATAGGGGTCCAGTTTCATTCTTTTGCATGTGGCTGTCCAGTTTCCCCAGCACCATTTATTGAAGAGACTGTCCTTTGCCTACTGTATGTTTCTGACCCCTTTGTTGCAAATTAATTGTCCATGTATATATGAGTTTATTTCTGGGTTCTCTATTTTGTTTCATTGATCTACATGTCTGCTTTTATTCCAATACTATACTGTCTTTATTACTATGGCTTTGTAATATAGTTTGAAATCAGGAAGTGTGATGCTTCCAACTTTGTTCTTTTTTCAAGATTGCTTTGATTATTCGGGTTCTTTTGTGGTTCCATACAGATGATAGGATTCTTTCTTCTATTTCTGTGAAAAACACCATTGGAATTTTGATAGGGATTGTGTTGAATCTGTAGATTTCTTTGAGTAGTATGGACATTTTAACAATATTCATTCTTCCAGTCCATGAACTTGCAATATCTCTCCATTTGCTTGTGTCTCCAAGTTCTTTGATCAATGTCTTATGTTTTTCAGTGCACAGGTCTTTGACCTCTTTGGTTAAATTTATTCCTAAGTATTTTATTCTTTTTGATGCAATTGTAAATGGGATTAATTTTCTTAACTTCTCTTTTTGGTAGTTTGTTATTAGTGTGTAAAAACAATAGATTTTTGTATGTTGATTTTGTATCCCCCAACTTTACTGAATTTGTTCAGTGATTCTAACAGTTTTTTTAGTGGCATTTTTAGGGTTTTCTATGTATAGTATCATGTTATCTGCATATAGAGACAGTTTTATTTATTGCTTTCCAATTTGAATGCCTTTTGTTTCTTTTTCTTGCCTAATTCCTCAGGCTAGGACTTCCAATACCATGTTGGATAAAAGTGATGAGAGTGGGCATCCTTGTCTTGCTCCTGATCTTAGAGGAAAAGCTTTAGCCTTTTATCATTGAGTATGATGTTAGCTGTGGGCTTGTCATATATGGCCTTTATTATATTGAGGTATGTTCCCTCTATACCCACTTTGTTGAGAGTTTTTATCATGAATGGATGCTGAATTTTGTTAAATGCTTTTTCTACATCTTTGAGATGATCATAGATTTTTATCCTTCATGTTGTTAATACAGTCATGTGCTGCATAATAACATTTTGGTCAGCGACAGACTGCACATGTAAAGGTGCTCCCATATGATTAGTACCATATAGCCTAGGTGTGTAGTAGGCTGTACCATTTGAGTTTGTGTAAGTACACTGATGATGTTTGCACAATAACGAAATTGCCTAATGACACCTTTCTCAGAATATGTCCCCGTTGTTAAGTGATGTGTGACTGTATTTGTATCACGCTGATTGATTTGTGGATGTTGAAATATCTTTGCATCCTTGGAATAAATTCCAATTGATCATGGTGTATGATCCTTTTAATGTATTGTTGAATTTGGTTTGCTAATATTTTACTGAGGATTTGTGCCATTTTTTTCTCCCAGGGATATTGCCTGTAATTTTGTTTTCTTGTAGTGTCCTTGTCTGGTTTTGGTATCAGCGTTATGCTGGCCTCTTAAAATGAGTTTGGAAGTTTTCTTTCCTCTTTTATTTTTTGGAGGAATTTGAGAAGTATCAATATTGATTATTCTTTGAACTTTTGGTAGAACTTACCAGTGGAGGTATTGGGTCCTGGACTTTATTTGTTGGGAGGTTTTTTTTCCTTGAGGAAGATTTGCCTTGAGCTAGCATCTGTGCCAGTCTTCCTCTATTTTATATGTGGATTTCCACCACAGCATGGCCATCACTGAGTGGTGTAGGTCTGCAACCAGGAAGTGAACCCAGGTCATGGAAGTGGAGTGTGCTGAACTTAACCACTAGGCCATGGGGCTGGCCCCTGTTGGGAGGTTTTTAATTACTGAGTGCAATCTCCTTACTAGTAATTGGTCTGCTCAGATTTCCTGTTTCTTCATGATTCAGTCTTGTTAGGTTGTATGTTTCCAGGAATTTATCCATTTCTCCTAGGTTGTCCAAGCTGTTGGTGTATAGCTGTTCATATTAGTCTCTTATGACCCTTTGTATTTGTTTGATATCAGTTGTAACATCTCCTCTTGCATTTATTTTATTTATTGGAGTCCTTTTTCCCCTTGGTTTGTCTAGCTATAGCTTTATTTATTTTGTTTATATTTTCAAAAAACCAGCTCTTAGTTTCATTGATATTTTCTATTGTCTTTTTAGTCTCTAT